CGTCTAATAGTGAACATTAATGCATCTGAAAGGACCCGAGAGTGAATCACAGATTTTCATCGAGCAGATTATCCACGCTTTAGTGTTAGCGGGCAGATTAATACCCCATACTGTTTACTGGCCCACAAACGTGTATGATGCAGTGGAAGAAACGTGAATATTTGGACGATTTTAATTATGTTCTCAATGCTTGTCAGTTACTAGGATAATCTACCAAAGCCTTTACGTGTTCCTTTGTTAATACATTCAACAACTGTTCTTCCACATGTTAGTCCACTTCCATGGAGGTCAGCGCCAAATATTTATAGCCAACACAAGTTTGTTCTACAGAAGCTTATGACTGATTTGGGACATAAAAGGAAAGTAGATAATCTAACATTTGCATCACACTGAGAACACATGTCATCATATGTTTTCATCTTAAATATTGTGTGTTTTCAAACTGAATTCTTCTGGCATTCTGGTTGCAGGACATTGATTCGATCAGTGAGCACAGACTCATAAATAAATCACTCTCAGTCACTGTGTGGATTGATGTGCAATAAACCAACAAGCCTCTATTTATTCAGCATTTAGCTTGGAGCAAATATCAAACTGCAGACTATAGAACACTGTCAAACACACTGCCGGCTGCATTACTCATCACATCTTATTGGGGTTTTTTTATTTTTACATTACAGACAAACAAGCTTTTAAATCTCTGTTTAAGTATTTGTGGGTTTTTGCTACATGTTCAGGGGAGGTTTGAAACCAAAGAAACGGAAATAAAAACTTTAAAACCTCCACTTTCTTTTTGCAAAGAGTCCTACTGTACACAGCAGCTTTGCCCGTTGGCATCTTTGGAGCGCAGACACAGTTTAGGCTTGTAGTTCTCCAGGTAATGCAGCTGCTTGGCATTTAAAGCTCCACGGCGCTTCCTGGCAAAATGGAGGAGACGTTAGGCTCAGTTTACGAAATACAACGCAAGAAAAGGAGGAGCAGCAGAATCAAAGCTTACTGTCTTATTAGGTGCACCGCATCCTCGTATTCCATCCCACATTCAATTAGCGCCAGAGCCACCAACACGGGCGCTCTGAGGACAAACAAGAGGAAGCCTTAGTTAAACTTTAACCCCTGTATGTGACTGGTGGTAGAATATAATAGGTGACTCAGTTGCATTTGTTGGGGGTGATATTTTCCTAGTTTAATCATTTGCCTCCAAAAGAATTCAACTCAATAACTTTTAAGAGTGAAGTGTGAGCACAGTGGCTGCTGTCTGTTTAATAAGGCTTAGAAGTAGGAAAGATCAAGCAGACACACTAACCAAACAAAACCTGAAGAGTAAACGCAAACTGAAAGCACACACAACACATTGTACTGTATATAAAATTATTGTGTACTAAACATCAGAATAAATCACGTGTCAGCTTCATACTGACCGTCCCAATCCAGCTACACAGTGCACAGCCACACAGGAGCCAGGCTCGTCTCGAAACTTTGTCTGCAGAAGGCTCAGCCAATCATCGACCACTTGGTCTGGGGGGGCGGATCCATCATCAAATGGCCAATCCTGAAAAAGTAAAGCATTAACTTGAGCTCAGTTTTACTGCAGAGCAGTCAGCGTTCACAGGTTTTTAAAATACCTCGAAATTATTTTAGTGCCCATCCTTAATGCACGAGACGTTTCTATAATTATAGTTCTATAGTGTATGTGAGGATAATGTGCTGTGTGAAAACCGAGTACTTTGCTGAACACCAAGCTGCTTTAGCGACTAAAATGACCAAGTGGGGTTTTTTTTGTATTTGATTAATTTACACACAAATGATTTTTCTCTTTTAAAAATAATTTGTGTGTAAATATTCTATTTAAATTGTTTATCATTATTTATTACAGATAT